GCAAATGTCCTTATGATAAAAGGATTTCTTTTCTTCTAAGTAGATGCCTAGTAATGGGATTGCAAGATCAAATGGGAAGTCTAATTTGAGTTCTTTGAGGACTCTCCATACTTCCTTCCAAAAAGGTTGTATTAATTTGCAGTCCCACCAGTAGTGTAAAAGTATTCCTTTTTCTTCACATCCACACCAGCATCTATAACTTTTAGTCTTTGTGATGTGGGTCATTCTCACTGGGGTTAGGTGCTACCTCAGGGTAGTTTTTATTTGCATTTCTCTGATGATTAGGGATGATGAGCATTTTTTCTAATTAATTTTTTAAATTTTTGTAGAGACGGGTCTATGTTGCCCAAGCTGGTCTGGAACTTTTGGCCTCAGGTGATCCTCCTGCCTCAGCCTTCCAAAAGATTGGGATAACAGATGTGAGCCACTGTGCCTGGTGACCCCCTCCCATTTTATTATTATGTAAAACATGTTTCAAGCAGATAGAAGACCTGAGAGACTTTTAGAGCCAATATCCACATATCTGCCACTACATTCTATAATTACTATTTTGCTTGATCTGTTTTATCACGTATCTACCCACCAGTCCCTCAGTCTGTCCCTGTGTCCGTGCACCGTGGCTTTGGGATGCATTTCAGAGTAAGGTGCAGACTTGTGATGAGGTCTTTTTTCTTGGCACTTAGTTTTTTTCCTTTTTAATTCTAGATTTAAAAGACAATATTTTTTAAGCTTTGTTTGAGGTTCCCTTAACTATTTCTTCTGCTCTCCCCAATTTGCTCATTTTCACCCTTTAACAATCTTTAACTGGTGTATTTATCCACATTGTATAAACCATGGGTACTCATACTATCTTAATCTCACGCTTTAATTTTTCTCTCTTCCTTCCTCTCTTATCTCTTCACTCATCACAACTTTTCATTTGCTTTGCTTTCTCTCTTTCAGCTCCTCAGCAGATAATTTTTAAACTAAACAACAGCTGAACAATATCCTCACTGTTCTGGCTGTCTGGGTATGCACAGCACGTCCACGCTTGCCCAGAACAGAAGGAAAACACAATTTCTTCTATTTTATTTCTTTGCATCAAAAGTGATTAACTATGTCTGCATGACCTTCATACATCAGGCTCTTTGGCTATTTTTAAAGTCTGTTTATTGGGGTAAGTCAATCTGCATTCCCTTCATAGAAGAAATCTTTACCACTAAAGGATGCAATAAATGCCAAGGAAACAATGCATCTTTTGTAGGATGAGAGACAAACACTGCCATCTAACAATTGCCAGATTGTTTAAATTATTATACGGCAATTCATGCTAGTTACATATTAGCATTGTTGTACAAGTATTTTCTTATTTTGGACAAAGATGGTTTTCTGAAGGGAATCCTACTCTTGCAAGGCAGATGAAAAGACCCCATTACGTGGTCTAGTACATACTGTGTTATTACCCTGGCCAGCAGTGTTTTAATTTTTTTTCATAAAGCCTATTAACAATGAGGTAAAAGACTGCAAATTGCCTCCATCAATTCAGGCATCAGTATATTTTATTTACCAAAAGCCATAATAAAGCTTTCGGTAAAAAAAATCCTAAGGAGACTTTCCTTTTTGTTGAACATCAGCTATCACAACAATCTTTTCAACCTTATCTGGGATTATACAGGTGTGTTGGCCATTTCAAAGTGATGGGAGGAAAAAAGTAAAAAAAATACAGAAAAAAATTTATATTAAATGATTGTGGGAAGAAAGTAAAGAGAACTTGTCCAGGATTATATTAGCAATTCCTACTTTTAAATACCAGAATGTTTGTACACTACATTCATTCTTTCTTGCTTTGACACTTGAGAGCTGAATTGTGAATTCATTCAATCATTTTTTCCATGTTCACTAATCACCTGCTCTATGCAATGTAGTCAATTAAGCACTGGGAATAAAAAGAGAGGAAGACTTGTGCCCTTTCTTCATGGAGTTTATAATTCAGTAAGGAAGACAGACATGTGGCCAATCTGAGATGCCATGACAGAGGGGCACACGGAAAAACAGGGGAGAGTCTGCCCTACACTGAAGAGGGTGAGAATGCTCAGAAAGTCTTCCTGGATAAATGAGAGTTAGCCAGTCAGAGAACAGAAGAATAATGCTTAAAACTCTTTCCATTGCAAACAATAAACAACCCAGTGCAAACTGGCTTGATCAAAAAAGGGACTGTGTTGGGGGGAAAAGGAAGGGGGGCACTGTGTTGGTTTGTGAACCTGAAAGGCTCAGGAACTTCAGGCTGCAGTCAGAGCTGGGCCCAAGGTCTAGTGTAATGCCATCTGGAACATGCCACTGGTACCTACCCAATAGCATCTTCCTTTTTCCTGCTCGTAGACTCCTAAATGTGTTCACTTTCATTGGAGCTGCTTTGTCCTTCAGGAGTGGCTGGGCTTACCTAATTATATCTGCAATAATCCTATTTTCAAATAAGATCACATTCTGAGGTACTGGAGGTTAGAACATCCAGGTATGAAGTTTGGAGTGATGCAATCACTCCAAACTTCATTCAGTCCCTCACAACCCACCTTTTTTCCTCCATCACACTGACTTCCTGCTGGTACCTGCTAGGCTGGACCCAGCTAGAGGGCATAGGAGCCTGATTGATATAAACCATAACATCCGCTCCCTGGGGCACACTGTAGGTAGAGAAAGGTGGTTCTGGAAGGCAAAGAGAGTTTCCAGAATGCTTTGTATTGCCTTCATTCTTGGGAAAGGTCCCTCCAACTGACAACCAACATCTCTAGACTGAGTTACTGTTTAGCCCCTGCTCTCTTAAAAGGAGAGGCAGGATTCTCTTTTTTTCAGTTTTCATAATGGTTTTCACCAAGGAGATGTTTGAATCTGTTTGGGTCACAAGGAGAGAATGTAAATGGAAGCAGAAGACGGGATATCTGGTGCACCACCCCATTGCCCTGCTCTGCACATCTTCTCCCACTTTACTGAGGACTGTTTTTTGCCTTATGGCTTATCAGCTATCTGTCACCTGGGCTACATTCGATAACATGTAATGAAAACTTGAAAACTCAAGAACAGTGTTAATAAATCAACCATATGGAGTTTCTTTCTCCTTACATGTTCAGATGTCCAGAGTGGGGCAGGGCCAAGCTGGTGCACTGGCTTGAAGAAGTCAGCAAAGGCACAGGCTCCTTCTATACCCACTCCACCATCTTTAGCACCTCATGGCTGAAAAGTGCTGCTCCACTGCCACCCTCACATCTGTGTCCCAGGATGGAAGAGGTGGAAGGAAACTTCAGGGAAGAAGGGGCGGCAGAAAGCAGGAAAGCAGAACTTTCTCAGAAATCCCTAGAATATGTCTATTTCTATCTCCTATGGCAGAACTATGTCACACAGCAGTCCCTTGCTATATGGGAGCTTGGGAAATGTAGTTCTTTGGCTGAGCTGATTGTTATTGGGAAGCAATCAGATTTCTGTTCGTAAGGATGAAATGGAGAGTGGACATTGGACAGCTAGCAGGTTCAGCCACACTCCAGTGGCATGTGTGTGCTGGGCATCCATATTTGAAGGTGGCACCCAGATCTGAAACACTGCTATTCTGAGGATTTGAATGGCCTTGGGGAAAAGCAATACAGTTACTGAGAATCATGGTCTGGATTTAAATAACATAATCATTCCAAGATAATGCCAAAAGCATGTAATAAGCCCCTACTGCAAGCACTGTCTTTTATTAGTCCCTGCTCTCTGAAAATATGCTCATCAAAAGAGGAATGGAGAAACGTCTGCAGAATTCCTTGCATTGCCCAGTTACTGTTTGTTGTTGTGCTTGCAAAGCTTATAAAGGACTCATGCATGTTTATGTAACAAAAGCAATCAATTAACCTCTCTTCCCTTGTCCTACTCAGACATGTGGGCAAAGTAAGAATATATTAATATAATTGACTTTATGCCAAATTCCAACACAGTCAAACATCTGCATATAGGCTGGGTGCAGTAGCTCACACCTATAATCCTAGCACTTTGGGAGGCCGGGGCTGGAGGATCACTTGGATGAGGTCAGGAGTTCAAGATCAGCCTGAGCTGTATATGAAGACTTTGTCTCTATAAAAAATAGAATAATTATCAGGGCATGATGATGTACCTGTAGTCTTAGCAACTCAGGAAGCTGAAGCAGGAGAATTGCTTGAGCCTAGGAGTTTGAGGATGCAGTGAGCTATGATGATGCCACTGCACTCTAGCCTGGGCAAGAGAATGGAACACTATCTAAAAAAAAAATTAATATACAATTTTTGACTCCCTCAAAACTTAACTAATAATAGCCTAGTGTTAATTGGAAGCCTTACTAATAATATAGATGGTAAATTAACACATATTTTGTATGTTATTTGTATAATATACTGTATTCTTACAATAAAGTAAGATATAGAAAAGCAAATGTTGGACAGGGTACAGTGGCTCACACCTGTAATCCTAGCACTCTGGGAGGCTGAGGCAAGTGGATAGCCTGAGCTCACAGATTTGAGACCAGCCTGAGCCAGAGTGAGACCTAGTCTCTAAAAATAGCCAGACATTGTGGCGGACGCCCACAGCTACTCCTATAGTCCCAGCTACTTTGGAGGCTGAGGCAAGAGACTCACTTGGGCCCAAGAGTTAGAGGTTGCTGTGAGCTATGATGCCATGGCACTCTACCAAGTGCAATAAAGTGAATCTCTGTCTCAAAAAAAAAAAAAAAACAGAAAAGAAAAAGTTATTAAGAAAATCAAAAGGAAGAGAAAATGGGTTTACTATTCTTTAAGTAGAAGTAGGTAATCATAAAGGTCTTCATCCTGTTCATCTTCATGCTGAGTTGGCAAGGAAGAGTCAATGGTCTAGGAGTGACAGAGGCAGAAGGGGAGGCCAGAAAGGCAGGTGGGCTCAGTGTAACTTTCATTGAAAAAATCCACAAATAAGTGGACCCTGTGCAGTTCAAAGCCATGTTATTTAAGGGTAAACTGTAATCTAATTATCTCTTCTCTCTTTAGAGGAAAAGAACCAAATTCGTTGCCTGTGATTTTCTGACCGAGTGGTTATACAAGTAAGTTGTTCATGTCTTTGAATATTCAGTGACCCTAAGGATTCAGTAGTGTTCATTTGTAAGCAGAACAGCAACAATTGACTTGAAATCTTGCTTATTGTTTTCTTGTCCAACATATGGCATCATGACCAGCCAAAATCCAAAGAGGATAGGGGAGGAGTTCACAGAATTCTTCTTCATTCCGTTCGTGAAGGAGTACCTAGAGAAACAGTAAGTACAACACAGGCACTGAATAACTTATTACTAATTTTAAGATAGTGCTTGTGATAGTTTTCTCCAATCTAGGAGTATCTACTCATGTGATTTATTTAGGACTCTGGGTCAGTTATATTTGTGGCTCTTGTCTCTGGCTATTTTTAGCCTAGGCTGAGGTCATCTTATCCCTACCAGTAATTTACTCAAGAAGTACTTCAGAAATAAAATAGAAAACTAAAAAAAAATTCTTATCATAAGTAATTTATCTCTCAATTCTCCCATGGTTTCTCTCTCTCTCTGAAGGTCATTATGTCTCAGAAACTATTAGCTAAATTTTCTAAATATTAAATTTTAGTGTATGCCTCAATTTCCCATTTATAATTTTAGATAGAACATGACAGATAAAGTTAAATCTCTCTTAGACCCTTCTAATCTGGGTTCCCTTCACCTTGGAGGGTAATCAATTCAGACTACTGTGCATCCTTCCAGAGCTCTTAAAGTTATTTCACTATATGAAATTAGTTTCTATCATATCAAATCAGTAGTGTTCTTTGATATGAGCTATTTTTGTCAATGCTATATAATATTGATGATGATGACGATGGTGGCAGCTAATATTTACTGAGCACCTGTATCATTGTCCTCAGCATTTAACCAGTGAACTAATTTATTCTTCATAACAGTGTTATTACCAGTCCTGTTTTGCAGATGAGGAATAATAATTCTGCAACTTGTTTTTATTTAGCCCAAATACATACTTCTTCTTCTTCTTTTTTTTAACGGGACAGAATCTTGCTCTGTTATCTGGGTTAAAGCGTAGTGATATCACTGTAGCTCACTGCAACCTCGAACTCCTAGGCTCAAATGATCTACCACACATGGCCAATTCTTCTATTTTTTGTAAAGAAAGGGCCTTGCTTTTGCTCAGGCTGGCCTTAAATTCCTGGCCTCAAGCAATCCACTTCCCAAAGTGCTAGGATTACTGGCATCAAGCCCCCGAATACATACTTTTGAGATGTAGCATATTAATTCAATTACAACTAATTTATGCCTTCTGATGGCTTTATAGTACATTTCATTTCTAGATTTGCATAATACAGCCATTCATACAAGAAATATTTATTGAATACTACTATGTGTCAAACATCATTCCAAATACTTAAGATAGAACAGTGAACAAAGTAGCTCTAAACCCCTGCCTTCATGGAATTGATGCTATGTATGTTATATATATTTACATTTGTAGTATATTCCAGATAATAAGTAAATAAGGAAATGCTGTGAAAAATAAAGCAGAGGCGGACATGATGGCTTATGCCTGTAATTCCAGCACTTTGGAAGGCCAAGGTGGGAAGATGACTTGAGGCCAGGAGTTTGAGGCCAGCCCTGGCAATACAGTGAAACCCCACCTCCACGAAATATTTAAAAATTTTCTGGGTGTGGTTGCGCATGCCTGTAGTTTAGCTAGCATGCAGGAGGCAGGGTGGGGGGAATACAAGGATATGGAATATTGAGGGAGCTCAATGTATAATAAAATTATATATTAATTTTATATATAGTAGTCAGGAAAAATCTCACTTAGAGGATGACAGTCAAACAATGTTCAAGCCATGCCTGGAAGAAAAGAGAGCTCAATTTAGCAAAAATAATATGTATTTTGCCTGTTATTTTGAAAATGTTTCCATGCCTGCTCTTTGCAAGAACAATGGCAGGAAATAGAGTCCCAAGGAAATCAAGTGAGACTTACAGAGTCATATATTAAGCAGAATAGAAGACTGACCTTTAGTTAGACATTTAACTCTCGAATGTCACATCTTTTGCTTAAATCTGCCCTCCTTGAGAATGCCAAGTTGAATAGACTCTTGGCTAACTTTCTCTATTTTCAGAATTAAAAATCTCTGGATGTTATCAGCTTTTTTTTTTTTTTGAGACAGAGTTTCACTATGTCACCCTCGGTAGAGTGCTGTGGTGTCACAGCTCACAACAACCTCAAACTCTTGGGGTTAAGCAATTCTCTTACCACAGCCTCCCAAGTAGCTGGGACTATAGTTACCCACCACAATGCCTGGCTGTTTTTTTGTTGCAGTTGTCATTGTTGTTTTTTTTTGCAGGCCTGGGCCGGGTTGGTACCTGCCAGCCTCAGTGTATGTGGCCGGTGCCCTAATCACTGAGGTACAAGTGCTGAGCCATCAGTTTTTATTTTTAAAAAAATTTTGAGACTACACTTTGAAAGGAGGGCAATATTGGAAAATCTTGTTTGTTATTTAGCTTATAAACCTGTGCCTAATTTTATCCACTATGAAATGGAAGACCCATAATTTATTGCTTTGCGTGTATTTTTCTAAGATTTTTTTTTAGTATCATTCTCCAAGTTGCTGCTTTGTGTTGAAAATGAAACATTTTCCTATTTGTAATAACCAATGAAAAAGAATATTAAAAATAAGAGAATTTCCCTAAATGGGAATTCTTTCAAATCCCTAGTCATTTATTATACAAATTTCTTAATTTAAAATGGCATCCGACATTTGCTACTTCACTTATATTGTAAAGTAGCAGGAACAATCATTTCAGCTGCATTCTACATCAACAGAAGCACAAGAACTCTTGCTTTAACTGGCATTTGTATTCTCTACACCATTACCTTTAAAGAGATGCCCAGATGCATGATAAAAATTAAAATGATACTAATCTAATTCATCTGTTGCAACTACCCATTTTAACTGCGCAAAGCTTGGTGCTGTGGAAAAAAACAGCCTCTGGAGTGAGAGAGGTATGGTTTACAACCAGCTGAAGTTTCTGTACTGAGCACTGTAATACAGATGTTAACAAAACACGAAAGGAAAATGCGGAAGCATGAGACCATCCACGTGCTCTCCCTGGCAGGCCTGGAGCCAGCCCAGCTGGGACAGTGGCCAAGCCTGTTTGTGCCCAGATTTGGTCCTGGGAGGCAAGAAGTCAGGTGCTGTTTTCTTCTCAACGATGGTCTTGAGCAGAAATAGACAAGCAAGTAGGAACCACGGTTTTTAAGGAGAATGAGGATGGAAGCTGGGAAACAATAAATGTCTGATCCACGTCTTCTCAACCTCAAACTATTTAGGACCAGATCATTTTTTGTTGTCAGCGGCTGACCTGTGCATTGTAGGATGCTCAGCAGCGTCTCTGGATGCCAGTAGCGCCTCCTACAGTTGTGATAATCAAGACTATCTCCAGAAACTGGCAACTGACCCCAAGGGTGGGTGAGGCAAAATCCCCCATGGTTGAGAACCCCTGATTTAATTCAGTGATTTTTTTTGTCCTAGTTATACTTTAGAATCATCTATAGAACTTTGGAAAAATATTGGTACCTGGCTTCACTCAAGATCCATTACACCAGAATCTTCAGGTATAGGCTGGGCATTGGTATTTTTTTTTTTTAAGCTTCCCAGGTGATTCTAATGTATAGCCAGCTCATCTATCCATAGGGCAGAAAAAATGCTGCATCTAGGAAATAATAAATAGTACAACTGAGCCATTATTCTGCTCAGTGTGTAAGCACTTTTAGATGTATTATCTCATTTCACCTTTACAACAACACTAGGATGTAACTACTAAAGCTGAGACTGTAAAGTCAGGCAGTTGACAGTGTAGTGAGGTGGGTCTTGGGCAAATATGGTGATTATTGGGGCAGGAACTTGATGGACAGACATTGTGAGTAAAGATCTTAAAGATACAGATTGGGCTCAGCTCCTGTAGCTCAGTGAGGAGGGCACTAGCCACATATACTGAAGCTGGCAGGTTTGAGCTTGGCCCAGGCCTGCTAAACAACAATGACAACTGCAACCAAAAAATAGCCAGGTGTTGTGGTGGGCACTTGTAGTCCCAGCTACTCAGAGGCTAAAGCAAGAGAATCACTTAAGCCCAAGAGTTGGAGGTGGCTGTGAGCTGTGATGCCATGGCATTCTACCCGGGGCAACATAGTGAGAATTTGTCTCAAAAAATAAATAAATATATTGATTGGTGTAAAATGCATCTTGAGAGGGAAACTCTGTGAAGGCTTTTTAAAGGAAGCAAACTTAAACCACAGTAGGACTTTAGGCAGTATTGGGTTGGGGTTAGAGTGTAAGTTTTCAGGACAAACCAGTACTCAAATCTCCACTCTACCACTTACTGATTGTATGACCCTGGGCAAATCTTTTATTTATCTATTACTGTGTAAAAAATTGCCCCCAAACTCAGTGACTTGAAACAATAAATATTTATTATCTTAACAGTTTCTGTGGGTCAGGAATTTGGTAGCAGCTTAGCTGGGTGGTTCTGGTTCAGAGTCTGCCATGAGGTTTCAGTCGAGATGTCCTAGGAACTGCAGTATCTGCAGGCATCTGAAGGTTTGACTGCGGCTGGAGCTTCTTCTTTCCAAGTGGCATACCCATGGTGCTAGGTATTGGCTAGAGGCCTCAGATTTTCCCCATATGGGTCTTTCCTTGGGCTGCTTGTTTATCCTCACAACGCAGTGACTGGCTTCCTTCAGAATGAAAGTCTCAATTCAAGCACAAGAAGGAAGCTACCCTGCCTTTTATGACGCAGTCATGGTATTCAAATGCCTCTATTTCCTCCGTATTCTACTAGACTAAGTACGCTGTTTGAAGGGAGCATAATTAAGCACCATCTTACGAAGGGAGGAATATCAAAGAACATGTGGACATACATCATGTTTTAAAAATAGCACAGTAGGTCTGTCTCTAAGCCTCCATTTCCTTGCTGGTAAATGTGGTGATTGTGAAGCTGCAGGAAAATGATACAGTTACAAATGGGGTGATGACCAGGCCCAGCCTATAGTAACATGTGACTCACTAGGTGGTTTAAGTAGTGGCTTGCTTTCATTGGCAGACATTGTAACTTTGGAAGGGCACTCTAGGCTAAAGACCTAAAAATGGTGAAAAAGACAGGACTTGGTCCAGCATAGCTGGCTCCTGGGGTGTGTGAGGACATAGGGATGGGAAGGGAGATAAGGCTGGAAGGTATTAATAATTACAGGA